TAATTTCTAATAGAAATAGAAAGTTTAACTTAAAATTCTAAACTTTGCTTATAAAATAGCTTAAAATATATTATAGAATATTTATAGCATTTTATTTATAAATAGATAAATAAATAAAAAGAATAAATTAAATTATTAAATAATATTTTTAATATTATATTAATTAGAAATAAAATAATTAAATTAATCTATTATTTCTTATATAGTTTGCTTATAATAGTATAAATATAAGTATAATAAAGAAATTATTATTCTTTATACTCTATAAATATAATTCAATAGCTTATTATAAAGTATTATTAGAAGCAGATATAAAAATTATAAATAAAAGAATTAAAAAGATTAAGAAAGTTTAGAAAGAATTTTAATTAAAATTATAATTCATTCAGAAATAAATAATATAATATATAAATTCTAAAAGAATTAAGAAATTAATTCTATAGAAAGAAAATAAAGCTTATCTATTTTGAAAAAATATTAAAATAATTAAGCTTAATAATAAACTTAATTATAAAAAGTTAGAATTATTTAAAATCTTGCAATAAATTTCTCTAATTAATTACAAATTAATACTATTTTATAAAATAAGAATATATTCAATTTTTTATATCTTATTACTAAAATTAGCAATATAAGAAATATTTATAGATAATATAGCAGAAGTAGAGAATAATAAATTAGAATATAAAATTGAAAAGATTTTTAAGCATAGAAGTATAAATAATATATAAGAATATCTTATTAAATAAAAGAATTATTTAGCAAATAAGAATTTATAAGAATTATAAAAAAATATTGAAAATACTTAGAAAAAGATAGCTGAGTATTAGAAGAAGAAAACTAATATCTAAGATAATTATTCTATTTCAAACCGAAATCCAGAAGCTTTAGAAATCTTACTCTTCAAAAAATCAAATCAGTTTACTATAGAATCTCTTATATCTACAGAATTCTAATCAAAACTCTCAAAGAAAGAATCTCCAGCTATTATAGCAGCCTTCTCAAAAGCTATCTCCTGTATAGCTATAGCAGCACAGCAATGCTTCTTTTCAGCTTTAATATATTCCAACTTTTTTACATTGTTAATGCTGCAACGAACAGCTTGTATCATCTTCTCGTATTACATCTGCTTCTGTTTTCAAAAGCGAAGAATGTCAGGTGGAAAGGTTGCAAAGGCAATGTGGCGAGGTCTTTTCTCTCTTTCAGGGGTATACAACCAGAATAACATTGAAGCCTAAGGAGCTAAGTTCTGCTCAGCAGTGCTGACGTGGCTAGAAAGCCGCTTTATAGCCGCATATTGCTTAGTCATCCGTAATCCAGCTGGCTTAGCTGGCCCTGATCCTTGCTGGCACAATCAGCCCTGACAGATTGTCCCTCCTTATCAGGCCTTGTTCTCAAGGCCTTTGAGGCTTCCAAGCTTTTGTTGCTTCCAGGCTTCCGTTGCTCCCAGGCTTCCGTTGCTTCCAGGCTTTCGCTGCTTCCTAGCTGCTCCTACGCCTTCTCAATGCTTCAGGCTCTTAAGATCTCTCAGTGTTTCAGGCTTCTCAAAGCTTCTCAAGATCCCTCAGTGCTTCAGGTTTCTCAAAGCCTTTCAAGATCTCTCAGTGCTTCAGGCCTCTCAAGGCCTCTCAAGGTCTCTCAGTGCCTCAGGCCTCTCAAGGCCTCTCAAGGTCCCTCAGTGCCTCAGGCCTCTCAAGGCTTCTCAAGATCTCTCAGTGCTTCAGGTTTCTCAAGGCTTCTCAAGATCTCTCAGTGCTTCAGGCCTCTCAAGGCCTCTCAAGGTCTCTCAGTGCCTCAGGCCTCTCAAGGCCTCTCAAGGTCTCTCAGTGCCTCAGGCCTCTCAAGGCCTCTCAAGGTCCCTCAGTGCCTCAGGCTTCTCAAGGCCTCTCAAGGTCCCTCAGTGCCTCAGGCTTTTAAGCCACTCAAGGTCTCTCAGTGCTTCAGGCTTCTCAAAGCCTCTCAGAGTCTCAGGCTTCTCAAAGCTTCTCAAGATCTCTCAGTGCCTCAGGCCTCTCAAGGCTTCTCAACCATCTCCCTCCTTCTCTTCTAGCTTCATCCCCGAAGCCTGTGAAAAAAAAATCTCTTTTTAATCACATTCCAGACGTAAGTCTTCCGAATGCAATACTCGCGCTATATACACTGCTCAGTTGCTACTCCTTCAGCGCTTTATTCAGGCATTCTTCAGAACTTAAAGCTGTTTGATATAGATTGCAAGCTTTTTATTAAAAACTTAGTTTGCAGCTAAAAAGCTTAATATCTAGAATAGCATCTCTGCAGTTATAATAGATAATTATAGCTTTTTATCTTAAAAATTGCTTTTTAGCAATTCTAAAGCTATTACTATACTTCATTCTACTGCTAAATACAGAAGAGTAATTAGTTTACAATCTAATATTTAAGCAACTTTAGTTGCTAAGCAGATATTCCACTTCAGCTCTACATTCTCGCTTGAATAGCAAAGAGCATACTTGTAATGAGCACTGCAGCAATCCGAAGATTCCAAAGTACACAAAAGGGGTTTATGCTAACAAAAGCGATATCAAAATGCCAAGTCCTTGAATACGGAACCGTACAAGTCTCAATAAGCAATGCAAGTATTCACTGCCTTTGGGGCTATCAGAATAGAGAGTAATCTGATACTTAGATTGACAACTGAAGAGCTATGTACGAGATCTATCTAATGGGAATGAACGTGTTCTTATATATCCAGCTCTTCAGTCCTGTTGGTGGTGTTGGTTGTTGGATCCCTTGGATTATCTGAGTGATCCAACTGATCCGGATTACCATGGATCAGCTACTGATCCATTCTAATCCTGTAATCCTAATTCTTGCTTATATAAGCCTTAGTTCTTAAGATGTTGAATTCTTGTTTTTCCGAACAGTTGTTCCGGATATTCTAGCTAGTAATCTGCATATTGGATGAGTTATAATATCATCTTCCTTCTATTGATTGTTGTTTCTAATGATCTTCTGTAAGTATTCTAGCAAGTTATTTGCATACATGATTATGCCTTTCTAATCGAGATGTTGAACAGAATCAACAAATTGTATTCTAATCATTCGATGAAAACTCAAGAGCGCTATCATCTTGCTGAGCTTATTTCTGCTTTTGGTATTGAAATGCCTGCTTGTGCTTATTGTTGAGAAACGGAGGCTTTCTGTTATTTCGCTGAAAACTCTTCTTGTTGTAAAAAGTATATTTCTCTGGATCAAAGCTGTGATACTAGTTGTTTTTCAGCTTCTGCTGATTAGTTTCTTCATTCCTTGGTATTTTCTATAGTTACTGATTTTCTTCTTCAGCAGAACGTTTGATTCATGAAAAGCGCAAGATTTTGAGCGAGAAAGCTGAAGCGGAGTTAGCAAATGCTGCTGCTCTACAAGCCTTACTAGCATTGCAGGCTTGTCTTGATCGTATACGGAAATAGCGAAGGCTGTTGGAGAAATGTGCTGCAGAAATGATTTGTTGTAGTTTCAATTCCTTGGAAGGGTTTGCTGATGAGAAGGATTGCAGTTTTCGTGAAGAGGAGACTCGTCTGATGTCTCAGGAACATCTTGAGATTATCGACTGGAATTTCTTAGCTTTTGATTCTAGCGTGTCTGGTTGGCCTTTCCTTCTGGAGAGTGAAACTGCAGCGCCTGATTCTCGTTCCGGGGCGGAGAGGTCTTAAGTGGTTTTCTTTTTCAATATTCAGCTATCTTTTCCTAAGCGTTTTTAACGTTTTTCTTTGGTTTCTAAGAATTTTCGCTTGCTGGATAGCCTTTCCATTTGATGAGATATTTCCTTGTATTGTCTGTACTTCTGTGCTTGAGGATCTTCTCTATCTCATACTCTGGTTTATTGTTTTCTACTTTCGCTGTGTTGTCTGTTAGTGTTTCCTGTGCTGCTGGTTCCAGCAGTGAGATATGGAAAACCGAGTGTATTCTTATCCTATGAGATAATGCTAACTTGTAGTTAACTAAGGAAATCTGTTGCAAGATTTTGAATAGTTCCAACTTCTTATGGTTGAGTTTGTTGCTGAGTCTGGTTGTTTTGATGTTTTTTTTTCGAAATAGATAGATCTTATCTTCTTTCTGTAGAATTGATTTCTCAATTCTTTTGGAGTTTTGTTATGACCCATCCAACATGCAGGTCACAGAACAGGTCATGAGTAACAGGGACCAGGTGTCAAGGATTCAACGTCCTAACAAAGCATTGATTACATGATCCAGGGTTAGGGTTATTAGCGGATAGATACAGTCAACGTTTATCCCGTCGATGAGGAAATCGATGGAGTTAACATCGATCCTATCTATCCGAACTGAAGAACCAAGTATATAAAGGTTTACATTTCCTACTATTAGATAGATTTCCTTCAGATAGTTCTTCAGTTATCAATCTAAATATTCAGTTTCATATACTAAGTAGCTTCAAAAGCAGTAAACACTTGCATCACTTATTAGAACTTGTACAGTTCCGTATTCAAGAACTTAATACTTTAATACCGCTCTTGTTAGCATAAATCCCTTCGTATACTTAGGAATCTTCGAATTGCTGCAGTACTCATTACATTTTGATAATTCTTATTCAAGAATAGTTTAGTATTATCCCTTGAGCAATACGGAATACAATAGCTCCTCCAGGAATCCCTTCATCCTTGCACGCTCTTACTTAGAAAGAACTAGTTAATCAGATGTATCAGCTTATCCAGCATATCCAGAATCTGCACAAACAATAGCAGGCCCAAAGCGCTACTATTGCTAACCAACAGGCTCAGCTAGCTCAACAGGCTCAGCTAGCCCAACAGGCTCAGCAGGCGCAGTTCATTCCTGCAACCACTAGTAGCACTGGAAAAGCATATAAGATAGATAAGCTTGCTATGTATAACAGCAACTAAAAGATGCTGTATGAATTCCTTACTTACTGCAGAGCGTATTTCCTGCATTACGAGACTCAGTTTACTAAGAAATCTGAGAAAGTTATTCTTGCAGGAACTCGTTTCGAAAAGAATACTCTTATTTAATATAAGCTTTCTCTATGCAACTACTTGAAATATCAGAATAATTCCAACATGCATATCCAGGATATTAAGAATATATTTGATTCTTTTGAAAGCTTTGAGAAAGCTCTCAAGGAAACCTTTAATAATCTTAATGAAAAATATACTATAGCTCAGCAGCTTATAAATCTCAAGCAGACCAAGTTAGCTTCTGCTTATATAATTAGATTTAAGCAACTTTCAGCATAATTCCTGTAAGAAAATAAGAATCTTATAGAATACTATTATAAGAGATTTAAGAATAATATTAAAAATAAAATCTTCAAACAGAATTAGCTAAAGAACTTTGCAATATTCTTCAATCAAGCTATCTGCATTGATAATCATCTGTATGAATGATGGATGGAGAAGTCTAAGAAGAAAGAAAGCTAAATTTGGAGATTTCCAGCTAATATAAGCAAGAAACTTCAAAATAAGAATAGCAGTTGATATAGCAATACAGCTCAGAGCAGCATTATGCATACTGATTCTATAGAACTTGATGCTACTAATAAGCAGTATAATAAGAGAAATAGCATTACTTGCTACAACTGTAACAAATAAGAATATATTGCATGCAATTGCTATTAATCCTAAAAGAATAAATAATAATTAGTTTAGAAAGAATACTAGGTGAATATTGCTTAGCGATAGGAATTCAATCAACTGAGCAAAAATACTTTCTTAAAGCAAGTATTGAACTCTGTTAATCACGGAAGTTTTAGCTGAATATTCTGCTATAATAATAACTGCTTAATATATCTCTCGAGTAAGAAAGATTCAGAATGATTTCCTTAGAAATCTAGGCGCTCTAAGCAAATAGCAATAGCAGAGCGAGGATATATGCTTAGTATAACTATAAGCAGCAACAATTCGAACTGCTTCGATGTTACTGAATGAAGCATTTAAGCGCTGAAGGAAGGGCTTAATAATAATGCTCTTTGCTATTCCTCATTACCTATATCAGATATTATAACTAGAGAAATGAATAAAGGATAGTACTCTCTTAGTTATTGATATAAATACTTAAATAATACTGAAAATGCTTTTCAAGCAATGAAAAGATTAAGCTAGAGCGAACGATCTAATGATTTACTGGAGTTTCCTGTGAATAATAAATCAAAGAAGCTTATAGAAAGATTTCTCTTTAGCATTGAATGGAACAAGGAAACAATATAAATTGAATATCTCGTTTATAGGATAGGATTAGAAAAGCTCTTTATCTGTATCTTCTTGCAAAGCATCGAGGTATAACAAGATAAAGATCTTCGGATCAGTTTACTTTATAACTTATATTACAAACTAGCTTGAATCTCCTATATCTATTATAGCTGCAGAATGTACTTCTTAGATAAAATGCAATATAAATAGTTCTCTATTAGAGAATCAGAGCAAATCCTTCAGGCTGTTAAAGAATAGAAACTCCGCTTCAGAGAGATTCTCAACAAATAATATTATAATGCATATATTGAGCTATCAGATGATTGCTTCATGCAATATATAAATAAAAAGATAGAATGATGATAATGCAGAACAATACTCTGTACAATTCATATTAATAATAAAGTTTGCAACTAGCATTAACAGAAGAAAGACTAGGAATAACAATGATATAAGCAAAAGCAAGCTAAGAAGCTTGCTTAAGAAGTAGCGAAGCAAGCTTAGAAGAACAAGCAGTTCTCAACAAATCTAAAAGAACAGAATCGCTTGTAAAGAGACTGCAGACAATCAGACTAGAATAATTCCTATATAGAGTTTTCAAGGCAGATTACGCTTATATCAAGTTCGATATATATATTCAAGAATACAAATACAGCATACTATTGAATAGTAGTGCTCAGAGAAACTTCATATCCCTATATATCATTAATCAGGTATAATTACAATGGAGATGGAAGAGATACTTATACACTCTTAGCACTATAGAAGGATAATCTGTTGCATATAATCAAGAAGTAATCGATAAGAAGACTGATTATCTATTTATCTTGATTCAAGAATGCTGTCAGATGGAAAGGTTGCAAAGGCAATGTGGCGAGGTCTTTTCTCTCTTTCAGGGGTATACAACCAGAATAACATTGAGGCCTAAGGAGCTAAGTTCTGCTCAGCAGTGCTGACGTGGCTAGAAAGCCGCTTTATAGCCGCATATTGCTTAGTCATCCGTAATCCAGCTGGCTTAGCTGGCCCTGAGCCTTGCTGGCACAATCGGCCCTGACAGATTGTCCCCCCTTATCAGGCCTTGTCCTCAAGGCCTTTGAGGCTTCCGAGCTTTCGTTGCTTCCAGGCTTCCGTTGCTCCCAAGCTTCCGTTGCTCCCAAGCTTCCGTTGCTTCCAGGCTTTCGCTGCTTCCTAGCTGCTCCTACGCCTTCTCAATGCTTCAGGCTCTTAAGATCTCTCAGTGCTTCAGGCTTCTCAAAGCTTCTCAAGATCCCTCAGTGCCTCAGGTTTCTCAAAGCCTCTCAAGATCTCTCAGTGCCTCAGGCTTCTCAAGGCCTCTCAAGGTCTCTCAGTGCCTCAGGCTTCTCAAGGCCTCTCAAGATCTCTCAGTGCCTCAGGTTCCTCAAGGCCTCTCAAGATCTCTCAGTGCTTCAGGTTTCTCAAAGCCTCTCAAGATCTCTCAGTGCTTCAGGCCTCTCAAGGCCTCTCAAGGTCTCTCAGTGCCTCAGGCCTCTCAAGGCCTCTCAAGGTCTCTCAGTGCCTCAGGCCTCTCAAGGCTTCTCAAGATCTCTCAGTGCCTCAGGCTTCTAAGCCACTCAAGGTCTCTCAAGATCTCTCAGTGCCTCAGGCCTCTCAAGGCCTCTCAAGGTCTCTCAGTGCTTCAGGCCTCTCAAGGCCTCTCAAGATCTCTCAGTGCCTCAGGCTTCTAGGCCACTCAAGGTCTCTCAAGATCTCTCAGTGCCTCAGGCCTCTCAAGATCTCTCAGTGCTTCAGGTTTCTCAAAGCCTCTCAAGATCTCTCAGTGCTTCAGGCCTCTCAAGGCCTCTCAAGGTCTCTCAGTGCCTCAGGCCTCTCAAGGCCTCTCAGTGCCTCAGGCCTCTCAAGGCTTCTCAAGATCTCTCAGTGCCTCAGGTTCCTCAAGGCCTCTCAAGGTCTCTCAGTGCCTCAGGCCTCTCAAGGCCTCTCAAGGTCTCTCAGTGCCTCAGGCCTCTCAAGGCTTCTCAAGATCTCTCAGTGCCTCAGGTTCCTCAAGGCCTCTCAAGGTCTCTCAGTGCCTCAGGCCTCTCCACCATCTCCCTCCTTCTCTTCTGGCTTCGTCCCCGAAGCCTGTGAAAAAAAAATCTCTTTTTAATCACATTCCAAACGTAAGTCTTCCGAGTGCAATACCCGCGCCATATACGCTGCTCAGTCGCTGCTCCCTCAGCGCTTTATCCAGGCACTCTTCAGAACTTAAAGCTGTTTGATGTAGGTTGCAAGCCTTCCACCAGGGACTTGGTTTGCAGCCAAGGAGCCCAGCATCCAGAACAGCGTCCCTGCAGCTATAACGGATAATTATAGCTTTCCGTCTTGAGAGTTGCTCTCTAGCAACTCTGAAGCCGTTGCCACGCTTCGCTCCACCGCTAGGCGCAGAAGGGTAATTGGTTCGCAACTTAATACCCAAGCAACTTCAGTTGCCAAGCGAACACTCCGCTTCAGCTCTGCGCTCTCGCTCGAATAGCGAAGAGCACACTCTCGAAAACAGAAGATACTCAGATCTACTGCTTGCTCACTCTGCTCTCTCGCTCAAATAGCGAAGAACACACTCTCGAAAACAGAAGATACTCAGATCTACTGCTTGCTCACTCTGCTCTCTCGCTCGAATAGCGAAGAACACACTCTCGAAAACAGAAGATACTCAGATCTACTGCTTGCTTACTCTGCTCTCTCGCTCGAATAGCGAAGAGCACACTTTGTTCTAGCTTAGCAACTCGAATGCTCTGAATCTCTTCTGAACGCTTCTCGTACGCTGCTTGCATACTGCTTGCTCGCTGTTTGCTCTAGCTTAGCGACTCGAATGCTCTGAATCTCTTCTGAACGCTTCTCGCACGCTGCTTGCATACTGCTTGCTCGCTGTTTGCTCTAGCTTAGCGACTCGAATGCTCTGAATCTCTTCTGAACGCTTCTCGCACGCTGCTTGCACACTGCTTGCTCGCTGTTTGCTCTAGCTTAGCGACTCGAATGCTCTGAATCTCTTCTGAACGCTTCTCGTACGCTGCTTGCATACTGCTTGCTTGCTGTTTGCTCTAGCTTAGCGACTCGAATGCTCTGAATCTCTTCTGAACGCTTCTCGCACGCTGCTTGCATACTGCTTGCTCGACACTGCTTGCTCGCTGTATGCTCTAGCTTAGCGACTCGAATGCTCTGAATCTCTTCTGAACGCTTCTCGCACGCTGCTTGCATACTGCTTGCTCGACACTGCTTGCTCGCTGTATGCTCTAGCTTAGCGACTCGAATGCTCTGAATCTCTTCTGAACGCTTCTCGCACGCTGCTTGCATACTGCTTGCTCGCTGTTTGCTCTAGCTTAGCGACTCGAATGCTCTGAATCTCTTCTGAACGCTTCTCGCACGCTGCTTGCATACTGCTTGCTCGGCACTGCTTGCTCGCTGTATTCAAGGCTCGAAAGCTCGAAAATCGAAGGCTCGAAGGTCAAAGGCTCGAAGGTTAAAGGCTCGAAGGTCAAAGGCTCGAAGGTTCGAAAAGAATAGTGGTCTGATCGTTTGCTCTGCTCCTGCTCAGTGTTAGCGCTGCTCCTAGGGAAGAAAAAAAAAGATAGAAAGCCTCGCCGGATTGCCTCCTTTAAAAGGGCCAGGCCTCAAACTGTCAGGTGGAAAGGTTGCAAAGGCAATGTGGCGAGGTCTTTTCTCTCTTTCAGGGGTATACAACCAGAATAACATTGAGGCCTAAGGAGCTAAGTTCTGCTCAGCAGTGCTGACGTGGCTAGAAAGCCGCTTTATAGCCGCATATTGCTTAGTCATCCGTAATCCAGCTGGCTTAGCTGGCCCTGAGCCTTGCTGGCACAATCGGCCCTGACAAATGCACAACTAGAGCTTTTTTTAATATCATGGATATAGCATAGCATGAGCTGATTATAGAGCTTCCATAGCTTAAGGAGCACAATTCTCGAATTGATTGAGCTAATAGCTAGCTCTCATGGGAATAAGCTGTATCCAGAGAGATAGTTATAATCAACAGTGCAGAATTGAAGCTAGTAGTTGAAGAATACTTAGGAAAAGAAGCTTTATACAACTTCATACATATTTTCAAGTTAGCAGAGCTAGCAGTTCAAGAAGAAGAATCTAGTAATAAGCAAATCCAAATAGTGCTAGGATGCTAATAGGTTAGCAAAACAATGGAAGCAAGATTCTCAGCAAGTCGGTTTGCTCCGGAGCAACAAGAAAAGACTTCAGAATGTAAATTGTAAATCTATATAGGAAAAATCTCGAAACCAGGCTTTTAAGCAGCTGCTCCAGCTCGGAATAAATGCTTAAGACTCTCAAAAACGTTATCAAAAACAATGAATGAAAAGAAGCATGCTTAATAGTACTTACTATTCCTCCAGATAGCAGAAACAGCATAAGAATCAGAACTAATACTTGCAAATATACTATAAGAATATTACAAGTTCAAGAAACTATTTCAGAAAGAATTGGATATAGAATTGCTAGAATATAGCTTATACAATCATAAGATCCTACTACAAGAAAGGAAATAGCTCAAATTCTTTCCTATTTATAAATTAGATAAAGCATAACTAGAAATACTTAGAAAGTATCTTAATAAGAATCTTAAGAAAGAATATATATAATTATTGCAATTATTAGCAGAATATTCTATTCTATTTATATTTAAGAAAAACAGCAAGCTTAAGCTATATATTAATTATAAGCAATTTAATAATATTATAATCAAGAACTAATATTTGTTACTACTTATTAAGAAACTACAAAACAAGTTGCAAGAAGTATAGTAATTCACAGTTCTAAACCTAAAAGAAGCTTACAATCTAATCAGAATAAAAAAAGAAAAAGAATGGAAAACTGCTTTCAGAATACGCTATAAATACTACAAATATTTGATTATACTCTTTAGTTTAACAAATATCTCAGCTTTATTCCAGAAAATGATTAATTATATTCTATGCAAGCATCTGAATCAGTTCATCATTGCTTATCTCAATAATATTCTTATCTACTCTCGAATATCTGAAGAATATAAGAAATATGTGGAAACAGTATTGCAAATGCTTCAAGATGCAAAACTCCTTGTAGAATCTGCAAAGAATCACTTTTACATACAAAAGATTAACTATCTCGGATTTATAATCAAGCTAGAATGCATTAAGCTATAGAAAGATAAAATAGAAGCTATTAGGAATTAGCTAATTCTTAGAAATATCAGAGATATTAGGTTTTTTCTCGAATATATTAACTTCTATAAGCAGTTCATCAAGAACTACAGCTGGATTGCATATTCTCTTACAAATCTTATTAAAAAAGAATAGCTTTTCAAATAAATCTCCAAGATACAAGAAGCTTTTAATGAAATTATTAAGTACATTACCTTAGAACTAGTTCTATATAAAGTAGATCCTTACAAACCCTTTGAAGTTAAGATTAATATATCAGAATATATATTCGAAGAATAACTTGATTAGCGAGATAACTAAGAACGTTTAAGGATTATAAGCAACTTTTCAAAGAAGTTGAATAGCTTAGAAATTAATTATAGAATCCCTAATTAGAAACTTATAGCAATAATAAAAGCTTTCAAGGAATAGCAATACTATCTTATTAGCATATAATATTCAATTATAATTCACTCGAATTACAAAAATCTAACTATATTCATAATAATCAAGGTTTTAAATAAGCAATAAATTAGATAAGCAGAATTCCTCTTACAGTTCAATTTTAAGATTATATACTGCAAAAGCTTAGAGAACGGATAAGCAGATGCTCTTAGCAAAAGATTAAACTATCGAAATGCAGATTCCTCGGATATACAGAACATCTTCGCTCAAAACGAATTAGAGAATCTTATTAATGCATACAGAGAACTGAATGCTATTTTCAAGATTAAATTCTTAGAAAAGAATTCAGAATTGATAATTCTAGATAAATAAGATAACTATATCAAGAATATATATAGTGCATCAGCATATAAGCATTAGAGAATCAGAGCAATCTACGAATGCATTAAAAGATACTAAAATCCATCAGATCTTAGAAAAAGAATTGAGAATATCTTATAATAATGCAATAGCTGCAAGAAAAATAAAGTAGAAAAATATAAGCTTTACAAACTACTGCATTCCTTATTAATACTTACAACTATTTAGCAATTCATCAGTCTAAACTTCATTATCAAGCTATCTTTCTTATAAGAACTCTTAATTAAGATGCAATATAATAGCATTCTAGTAATAGTTTGCAAACTGAGCAAGTATGCTTATTTTCTCCCTTATAAGGAAAGCAGTATAGCAGAAAAACTTGCATATGCATTCCTCAGAATAATTATTGCTAATTATAATATGCTAAAGAAAGTAATCTCTGATAGAAATAGAAAGTTCAACTCAAAGTTTTGGATTTCGCTTATAAAACAGCTCGGAATACACTATAGAATGTTTACAGCATTTCATCTACAGATAGATGAATAAACAGAAAAAATAAATCAGATTATTGAATAGTATCTTCAATACTATATTAACTAGAAATAAAACAACTAAGTTGATTTATTATTTCTTGCACAGTTTGCTTATAACAGCATAGATATAAGTATAACAAAGAAGTTACTATTCTTCATATTCTATAAATACAATTCAATAGCTTATTATAAAGTATTGCTAGAAGCAGATGCAGAAGCTGCAGATAAAAGAGTTAAGAAGATTAAAAAAGTTCAGAAGGAATTCCGATTAGAACTACAATTTATTCAGAAACGAATAGTATAATATGCAAACTCTAAAAGAATTGAGAAACTAATCCTATAGAAGGAAGATAAGGTTTATCTACTTCGGAAAAACATTAAAATAATCAGATCTAGCAACAAACTCGATCATAAGAAGCTAGAACTATTCAAAATCTTGCAACAGATTTTCCCAGTTAATTACAAATTAGCATTATCTCATGAAATGAGAATATACTCAGTTTTCCACATTTCACTGCTGAAACTAGCAGCACAGGAAATATTAGCAGATAATATAGTAGAAGTGGAAAATAATGAATCAGAATATGAAGTAGAGAAGATTCTTAAGCATAGAAGCACAGATAATATAAGAGAATATCTCATTAAATGGAAAAATTACTTAGCAAGCGAAAATTCTTAGGAACTGCAGAAAAATGTTAAAAATACTCAGGAAAAGATAGCTGAATATTGGAAAAGAAAAGCTAGCATCTAAAATAATCGCTTCGCCCCGAATCAAGATCCAAAAGCCTCAGAAACCTCGCTCTTCAGAAAACCCAACCAATCCATTACTGCATTCCTCACATTTACAGAATTCCAGTCAAAACCCTCAAAAGAAGAATCTTCAGTAATTACAGCAGATTTCTCTGCAACTACAGAACGAACCCTGGCAGCAATGCAAGCCTGCTCCTCTGCCTCCATCCTTTCCAACTCCTCTACATTATCAATTTCCCAACGAACAGCGCACATCATCTTTTCATATCACATCCTTTTCTGCTTGCACAGCTTAAGAAGTTTAGCATTCAGCTCAGCAGCCTTCTTTTTAATCATCTCCATCTCCATCTTCAAACAATAATATTAAGCAGTCACACAATTCAATTATACAAGCATTAGGCTACAAACATTGCAATTTAACAAACTCAGATATATGCAGATTTAATAGCAGGAAGATTCGGATTTAGCAATCTTGCATTCAGCTAAAAGATTATAATCTTCACAGTATAAGCAAAGCATAAGCAAAAGAGAACCGAAAGTAGCTATAGCAGAAAGAAGGAACGATTTCTGCAAAGAACGAGAATAAGGCTTAGCAATACAACGAGAACTGACTCTGTTCAATATCTCGATTAGAAAAGCAAAATCACGGATGGAAGATTTGCTAGAATACTTACAAAAGATTATTAGAAATAATAACTAATAGGAAGAAGATAATATTATAATCCATCCAATATGCAGATCACAAAATAGATCATGAATAACAGAGACTAGATATCAAGAATTCAATATCCTAATAAAGCATCGATTATATAATCCAAGATTAGAATTATTAGCAGATAAATATAGTTGATATCTATCCCATCAATAAGAAAATTAATGGAATCGATATCAATCCTATCTATCCGAACTAAAGAACTAAGTATATAAAGGTTTACATTTCCTACTATTAGATAGATTTCCTTTAGATAGTTCTTCAGTTATCAATCTAAGTATTCAGTTTCATATACTGAG